GTTCCTGTTCCTACCCTTCCCCTCCCCCCCCCTTCTGACCACAATTCCTACTTGGAATTTCATAACAGTTGAATTATTAAGAATGATCAAGAATTGTTAGATTAACATCTGTAATAATTATCAAGAAGTTAGATTATCATCTGTAAGAATGATCAAGAAGTTAGATAATCATCTGTGAGAATGATCAAGAAGTTAGATTATCATCTGTGAGAATGATCAAGAAGTGAATTTAGATAAATCTTTATTCACTTATAAAAGGCGACATTGGGCTAACACGAACAAAAATAATCGAGTCTTTATCACAAACTCAAATTTTCTAATCTCTATATCTTTGCAACTTGATGGTGAATACTTTTTTAAAAACTTATATTATTTGATCTACCAGAATTTACAGTTTGAAATATCTAGGTCCTACAACATTGGGTTGCAAAGATATATGGATTAGAAAATCAGAGTTTGTGGCAAAGACTCAATTTCTTTTCCCTTTACTCTTGTATACATTTTTGTCTGTGGATGCGGTTTTAATGAAAATTAAAAATAAGACAACTCTCATATGTTAAAAGATTGTTGAATTCAAATTGAAGAAACCGCACCCAGTCTTGGATGACGCCAATAAGATGTTATGCGTCATGTGTATTGCGTATACGAATTTTTTTCTTTTTCCATAATAAATCTAGAGACTGGATTCTTTACAATAAACTTGACAGTGATATATTTGTTAAACTTCTAAAATACAAATCTTTTTATATTTAAAAAAAATCAGTTTTTAGTGAATTTATTCGCTATTGTGGAGATCCAGACGTCGACAGGTTTTTAATGCATCGTCTTAATTTATTTTCTCATCTCTACATTTCAAATTTCTCTGTTTATACTTAAGACTTCAAAGATTGAACACTAGTTTTTTAAGAAATGAAATCCCCTAAAGCTCTGAAAATGTATCCATATTTATATCCAGGATGTTAAGAGCTTCATACAGTTTACAGCTGCATAAGCAAAGTGAATAGATAAGTTAAAAATGTAATGAAGTCGAAAAAAGTGTAAAACCTCCATTTTGTTGTACTTATACTGCAGGTGTACTTCACACATTTGTGCTATATAAACATTTGCGCTTTTTAAACATGTGTGCCTTATAAACATTTGTGCTATATAAACATTTGTGCTATAAAAACATTTGGCCCCGGAACATCTTTTTATAGAAAATAAATTGCCTTGAAAATTATTTAATTTTCTCTAAATCAATTTTATGACAACCTGTCAATGTCATGCATTCCCGAGTTCATTTCAGCATAAATTTAAAAAGGAAAAATGTATAACAAATATGTCCAGGGACCATTCCCTATTTTTGTGACGTACTGCGTATAATTTGTGAACTGCATTTACATGAATTGTACAATTTGAACTCCTTTTCAGGCTCAAAGGGACTGAACAAATTCATACCGAGGGATTCCTTCCCTTCTATTATAATCTCTGTTCTAAAATCTGTATGCATAAGTTAGAGGATGATAAATCATGGTTATTTGGGGAAAAATATATTTTATATTTGTATAAAAACAAGTGTATGCTATATGCATATTCACAATATTAGATTACTGCCTTTTATTACCTCTCAGAAATCAAAGATAATCAGTTTATCTCAAGAAATTATAAGCCACCATCCCAATATAAATAAATTAAAGATCAACCATCATTCTGTGGACAACTTATTTCATTTTTATTTCTTTATTCCTAGATATTCTTCTGAATAACATGTTTTGAAGGTTGTAATTAATTATTTGATTTATCTAAAGATAGATGCATTTTATGCATTAACGCTATTTATATCATCATTTCTCTTCATTTTCTAAATTGTCAAAACTAATAAATTTATTCATTAAATCAAAATTGCACCTGGAAATAAAATATTGGGCTTTTTTCAGGCTAATTCAAGGTTGAATTAATTTTAAACCCAGGTTCAAATTGTAAAATTCATGCAAAGCTTCAGTGTTCGATGCCGCAACACTTTCTAGAGAATCATAATTTATAAAAATATTGATGAAAGGGAAACTACTGGTATTTCAAATATTTCACTCGTCGATTTCGGTGAGCTATATTTTAAAGTTACGTTTACTTTAAGTCACAAGCGGAGGAAAAACTAAAACTCAACATTTAAGCCGTAACTTTTCGTTCTTTTTTTTTGGATTCATCGTGCAAAAGAAAAACAGATATAAACACTTGAATGAGGGACAGAGGATTGACGAAGCGTTAAGAAATTTTAGTTCTATAGATATTCAGACCTTTTCTAATTACATTTCTCCTGGCTTATTGGATATATAGATTGAGAAACTAATGTAAAGAAATATTTGTATATTCGTAGTCTTCTACCATATTTATATAGATATATATATTTATATATATATATATATATATATATTTATATATATAGAATGTTTTTATTTATTCTTAATACAAGTTTCTAGTTTTTTCTTCATAAAAGCAAACACACAGTTACATCTAATAATGTTAATTTTGTAGGGTGCTAAAAGCATTTGAAAAATTCACTTTAAAAAATTACTAAAAACTTTAAGACTTACCCTGAAATAAAGTAATCAAAACTTTATATATTTAGAGTACTTTTTGTCATAGTAACATATCCAATATACACATTTATCTTATAAACATAAAACTAAATTGAAAGATAAAATAATCAGGCCATGTCCTAATGTTCAAAACTTTCAAATTCGTTAGTTAAGAAATTATAACTAGTTATCAGGTATTCCAGCATTTTTTTAGTTCTACACAAGGAAGACGATACTTGATGGAGTAATTTTGTTATGTTTAGTTGAGTTCCTGTTCCTACTATGGGGTATACGGTTATGTATCCGAGTACGGAAAGCTCCCTCGGAGTTTAACGAAAGTAGATTTATATCCATGACAATCTATAACGAGTTCCTTCTCTCAATATTCCTCAACGTATCAATGTAAGTACACTACTGGGGACTACTGGGGACTACTGGGGACTACTGGGGACTACTGGGGACTACTGGGAACTACTGGCGACTACTAGGGACTACTGGGGACTACTGGGGACTACTGGGGACTACTGGGGACTACAGGGAACTACTGGGGACTACTCAAAAAATCTAATTTTCTATTACCTATATCTTTTCAACCTGATGGTGTAAACCTTTGATATATTCAACATAGATTATCTGATCTAACAGAATTCATAGTCTGATATAGGGATTAGAAAATTAGAGTTTGTGTTAAGAACTCAGTTTATTTATTTATCTTCACCCCCAGGCAGTTTTTTCTTTTTCACTTTAAATATTAATATGATAACCTTAAAACTGCCTGAATTAATTGAAAACTGGTCGGTGGGTGCCTATACATACATTCAACAATTTAACAAGTTTAAAATATAAACACATATCATGATAGCCCTTGAAAAATGCATATGCACAGTACATATATATATAACTAATGATCAAAAAACATTTTCAACAAAATTTTTCCTTTTTTTAATTTTTCAACACCTGAATATGTAAAGTTTAGAGTTATGTAATCTTTAAAAATGATCTGGCCTATTAATGTTAGGGGGGGGGGGGGGTTCTTTGGCAACGTGAATAAAAATGTTAAGTATTTCATTTTTTTAAATCCTTGTGCGTTTTTGCATAAACTTAAACCCACAAACTTTGTAATCCTCTAATCTACAAACTGCAAAAACTTATATTGAAGGTTTACCTGGCAAATATGGTGAGATTATGAAATCGATATTCTAAAAAAACAAACATTTTTTACACAAAAAACTACACAGTCTCTAGAAAACAAAGTAGTAAACTACTGAAATCATAATTGCTAAAGGAACTGAGTTTTTGCCACAAACTCACATTTTAAATCCCTATATCTTTACAACGAGATATTGTAAATCTTGGATATTTCAAACTTAGATTGTTTGATTCAACAGAATTGATAGTTTGAAATATCTAAGGTTTACGAAATTGGGTTGCACAGCTATAAGGATTAGAAAATCAGACTTTGTGGCAAAAACTCAATTCCTTCTGTTTTATTTGAAATAAAAGTTTGTTCTATGTTTTTCAACATTTTACCACTGAGGACAGTTTCTTATAAAGAGGAAATGGTGTTGGATAATTCTAATGGGGTTTTGACCATAATGTTATTCTTTTATGAAACCCGGATAAAATGTTGTGAACAAAAAGAAATATTTATGGAACAAAGGATCTGATTACTTGCTTGAACTCTAGTTTTCTAATCTTTATCCTAATCTTTAAAACTGAGTTCAGAGCTTTTATTCGAAGTATCATTAATCTTGAACGTTTGATCTTTTAAAATTCTGAGCTGGGAACTTTTGAATGGTGGATATCGGGATTAATACTTGATCCACTTTTTTCTTAACCTCTAGATTAAATAATGCTTGTTCTCCTCTTGTTATTAATCTCCAGATTAATTAACCGATCGGGATTAAGGATATTCCATTCCGTTCATCTCTGATATGTAGTAAACCTTTGATATTTCAAACTATTTACTTTTCCGGTCAAATGGTCAAATATCAAAGATTTACAGCCCCTGGTTGCAAAGATATAAAGCCAAAAAATTCGTTTTGAAGCGAGTAATCAGAAATATTCTAAAATTTTTAAAAATCAACACTCCCCCCCCCCGCCCTGTTTATGAAGAATGAAAGATATAGTTAATGCAATGCATGTATTACACAATTCGTAAATATTCATTATTAAACCACTAAACCACCTTTCAACTATCAAAGAAACCCTTTAACAATGGAACAAATAAATATGTTCAATTAAAATATTTTCACATCATTAGTACATCCTTTCATGTGATGCATTCAAACTCCATGCAAGTCGAATTATGGAATTTTACTTGTATATTTTATACTTTTGATGGTACTATTTTTTTAAAAATAAAATTTAGTTTATTTTCATATTTACTGAAGTTTCACATTTTTATGACATGGTTTTAGGAAAATATGTCAATTTGTAATTTGAAACAAACTTATCAAATCCTAGACAAATTTTTCGATAAAATATCAAAATTTTAAGAATCTAAAATTTGATATATTTTAGGTTTTTTCTTCAACATCCAGCAAACCCTGATCTTCTGTACATCATCTTCTTCTGTCACAGCCAACTTACAATCACTATTCTACTGTGTTTAATATTCGCGAGCAAGGTAACAATTCCAGTCCTAATACCTAAATATATGCTTTTTTGTCCTATACTGTGTGTTGTTATCCTAGAATATCTAGTCCTCTGTCCTATACTGTGTGTTGTTATCCTAGAATATCTAGTCCTCTGTCCTATACTGTGTGTTGTTATCCTAGAATATCTAGTCCTCTGTTCCGATAATTCACCTCTCTCTGTGCCATGTCCTAAATAGATTTATTTTGTCCTGTCTTGTCCTTTGTATATTTGTTATTGTCCTCCTGAATCAAGCATTTTCCTTCTTTATGTTTTACAATTGACAGTTGAGTTTATTTCTACAATAAATTGCCATATTGTCTATGTGAATGTATGCAATTTCTCAAGCCCGGTTTAAATCTTTTTGTTTGGTATTAACTCCAATGTTTATTGTAGAGTGTATTGTGTACACTCCATATAGTTTCGAGAGACAAGCATTTGTTACTATAGCTTTAAACATTTTTGACAAGAAAACAGTTAGGTAAATTTTTGCTTCATTTTATTTGAACGGAATTTTCACTGAGTTCTGTATGCATTTTGGGAACTTTAAACGACACATTAAATTCACAAGGGTACCCTAAAAACTGGTCTGGTCAAGATAAAGTTAGATATTATTTTTTTATTTTGTGAAAACTGATTAAATTTTCATTTGTGGTTTCGCTACATAGTCGCCTTGCGATTGCTTCATAAATAATGTAGAAATTGTTGATTAATATAATATTATTTATCTGATGAAGGTTGTAATAGTACAGTTGTGAATTAAGCATGCCTCTCTTTGAAAGCAAGGTCACTCAGAAATTACGTCTCAACTAACGGGCAGCCGCAGTACATTTGAATTTCCGAGCCGGGTCAACCTTTCCGGTCCCAGTTTGTACTGTATCGCCCGGAGATATTGGGAAAATAAAGCAAACACTCAATAGGACTAGCCGGTGCAACAAGGTTGACGGGGTTAGACTTTAGGTTGAATTTACTTTTACTAGAGGGTCAGCGGGGCGTGAACTCTCCTCCACTCTCTTTAGATAAACATTTTTCTTGTATAGTTCTGTGACTCAATATAAAGTTTTACATCAATGTCAATATTCGGATAGATATATAGAAATAGCAAAGCTTCTGAGTAAAGCCAAGACCATGTCTACAGCAATATTTGTAACAAAACTTCTTGTCAGCCAAGATAATACTTCTTTGTTTAGCTTAAATATGAGTCCAGCTTCTGCTAGAGTGTCTTTATATTAAAGGAATTTCAAGCCCATGTAAAGATGACACTGGCCGATTTACAACGGTATACTTTAAAGCTTTATCCATGCTCTTGCGCAAAAATCTATTTTAATTATTATTATTATTATCATTATCATTATCATTATTATTATGATTATTTTTCTGATTACTCATTTTAAGCAAAAGCTAGACAAGCCCGTTGCAGTTTATTAGTAAGTTATTAATATAAAACCAAGTCCAAGGGGTTGCGACCAGGTCTTGAAAACTGGGTCAACTTTTCATAGATCCCCCTGGATCTCTGTGAATTATAGAAGCTCACATTTACAGGCTTTAAAAAAGAACTTAATTGCTCGCCTCAAATTCTAATTTTTCGTCTGAATATCTTCTGCCCAACCTGATGGTGCAAACCTTTGATATTTCACGCTTCAATCATCACCTTTATCATATTTAAAAATCTCATTTCCAATTTATCTATCAAAATAATATCTAGAACCTTATTGTAAACAAAAATCTCACAAAAACGTTATTAATCAATTTGATATACCGTCCTGTACAGCTGTTTAAATGGTGCATGTATAATGTACAACTTTCTCTAGCTTAGTTCACAAATAATAAGGTTTATATAGTTTTCTCTATCTTTTGGTGCCGAAATCAAAAGGTTTATGCATACCACAGAAACCCCAAATAACATATCGGATTTATAAGTTAGAACTTTTGGCTCTTGTTGGTATAAACACAATATGCAAATAAGATCTGTTCTTGTTTGATCTTTCCACCGGTATAAGCGTCTGACCCAATCAGGGTTCAGTCACGTGCTTGGTATGATTCAGAACCAATGGAAATTGCAACAGCGGGCGTATCTATCTATCTATCTCATCATCTCTTTTTCGTATATAAGCACAATATACATATATGATTCAAGTTCAACTTCGAAACCAATATTTGAATTTGCAAACTGAATTCCACATCTTACTAAAGTTTGCATTTGATTACACAAACTATCAACAAATACATATAAACAACAAATATAAATACAGATTTTATACATTAAACAAATCTTATTCAATCTTCAAATCAAATTTAACATAATTCTACAAAAGGAGTTGAATTTTACCACAAACTAAAATTTTAATTGTGTATTCCATATATCTTTGAAACCTTTTGATGGTAGCCAGTGATGTTTCAAACTCAAATTATTTGATCTAATATAATTGATGGTTTGAAATATCGTATGTCTACGACATTGGTTTGCAAGGATATAGGGATTAGAACATTAGAGTTTGTGGCAAAGATTCCTTTCTTTGCACCAAAAGGGACTTGACCTAATTTTAAGTGACTATTCCTGGTGAGAAGCCACAATTTAAAATAATTATTTTTTAATAAGGAAAAAAAGAATATCTTGTAAACCCTGGATAAAGGTTTTATGGATACCGATATGAAACGGAAATACACCTCTATAATTCAAGGGAATCTTGGTATATTGCGTTAACAGCAACTTTTTTCTAATTTTAATTTAAGTTTACTTAAAATGTAAAAATTTTAAAAAGCTTTAAAAGGCGTTGATTCATAACAATTTTCAATATAGAAAAGTTACAATTTCTGTATAAAGATAATCTTTTGCTCCTAACAATAATTACTATATATACAGTTATATATAGCTAGGAATTAGACTGTTTTTTTCGACACCATAAAAGAAACAAACCTGTAATACAAAAAAGTCCAATTTACATAATAACACAGGTCAAAAACTTTGATTGTCTAAATCCTATAAATATTTTAGGAGCTAAGATCTTCCTTACACTTGTTTTATAAAGTAGGAATCGCAATTAATGTTGTTTTATACTTCTTGTTTTATAAGGGGGGAATTGTAATTAATTTTACGCACTTTTGCTTATAAAGGGGGAATAGCACTTAATGTTACACACTATTGTTTATAAAGGGGGAATTGTAATTAATGTTACAAATTGTTGTTTATACAGGGGGAATTGTAATTAATATTACACACTATTGTTTTATAAAGAGGGAATTTTAATTAATGTTACACAGTATTGTTTTATAAAGAGGGAATTTTAATTAATGTTACACACTATTGCTTTGTAAAGGGGGAATTTTATTAATGTTACACAATTTTGTTTCATAAAGGGGGAATTGTAATTAATGTTACACACTTTTGTTTTATAAAGGGGGAATTGTAATTAATGTTACACACTATTGTTTTATAAAGGGGGAATTGCAATTAATATTACACACTATTGCTTTATAAAGGGGGAATTTTTTTAATGTTACACACTATTGTTTTATAAAGGGGGAATTGCACTTAATGTTACACAATATTGTTTTATAAAGGGGGAATCGTAAGTAATGTCTTTATCTATTTTATTTAGTTTTACTTGGTAATGAAGGGTCAAGGAAAGGAGATAGAAGAACATAATAACGGAAAACAGCAGTTTATCAACAAGTTTAATAAACCACTTCACAGGTAATTACAATCCAAAGGAACTGAGTTTTCGCCACAAACTCAAATTTACTAATCCCTTTATCTTTGCATCCTGATGGTGTATTTTTTTGATATTTCAAACTAGAATTATTTGCTCTAGCATTTGATAGCATTTTTCCTCCAATAATGTTTAGATGGTTTTTCATAATTTTGAAAGCAACAAATGTATATCAATTACCAAAAGCAGAAGATTAGACAGGATTAAGAGAAATTATGAATTATTAAATATGGCATGAAACAAATTTTGGAAAGAATAGAAAAATTCAGAGCAGAGCTGGGAACATTTGTGTTGTAAACTCATAATCCCGATCGTTGGATTCTCGAAATCCACTTGGGACATGTTTGATTAGAAGATTAATGCTTAATCTCTTTATTTTAGTAATTCCTTCAGGGTACGATTAAAATGCGGGATATCGAATGAAGATTAAATTAATCTGCATATTAACAAAATATCGATCTCGATATCCACAGAATTCCCGGCTCAGTTGATTTTACTCTTTTTTAAGCAGCAAAGAACAGCAAGAGCTAGATATTTATTGGGTATTTAATCAGCAAGTAAGTTTGATTAAGGTAAAATTTTGTTACAGGGTTGGTAGTACAATGGCACCAAATTCTCATTCGTCAGCTGGTCCTCCAGTTCCAATAGCATCTTCAGTTTCTACCATAGTTCCCTCTACACCTGGAATACCAGTAGATAATTCAGAGGGAGCTATAAATGTAAGTTTATAGTTTTTACTTATTCTACAAAAATGTTGTTAACAAAGAAGATTTTTATAATTTCACATTTAAATTTTCTCTTAGGGAATAAATCTAAAACAATCTGAAAATGTCCACACAAAAAAATTAGTAATTTTAATCACTGCGCCTTTTCGTTTTAGACGCGAAGGGTTGGGCTTTCTGATTTAAGACGGTTTAAGTTTTATTTAAAAAATACAAAACTGGTCGCAAATACAGGACTAAAGAAGACATTGGTGATAAGTATGTTAACAGTTCTTGTCAACATTTCAACTGAAACAGTTGTTTCATGCTCAAGAAAATGTTGTTTTTTTGTTGCTCTATTTTATTCTTACAGCTTTTATCTCTTTGCAATTTTAAATATATTTTTACATCTTAAAAACTCACAGCTCACACTCATTTTCACAGCTTTCATTTAACACCGACGTAAAAGAATTGCAGTCAAACCTGATGGTGCAAACCTTTGATATTTCAAACTTAGATTATTCGATCTAACAGAATTCATACCTTGAAACTTTGAAATAGCTTAGGTCAAGATACCATTGATAAACTTTGCTTTTTAAAGTCATTTTACAACGTTGTAAAGAAAAGATATTATTTTTTACCTAGGCCGAGCTGAACAAGATGATGATCACTCTGAAGCAACTTCAGGAGAAGAATGCTATCTCAGGGATATTCAAATTATTAATATTAATATTTATGTTGTATAAATTCTAAAAAATAAGAAAAAAAACAGGAAAATATCTTTTTGAATTGCTTTTAAATCCCAGAAAAAAAGGAATTTTTTTATTTGAATATTTATAACCAGGTTCAATACTTGTCTCCAAGAGAATAATGGCAGTACAGGAGGCTTTGTGCAGCAACAATTTACATGCTGAGGGTTTAAACGGAATTACAAAAAGTTGTCCCGTCAGTGTCCCCTGCCAAGCAGAGAAACAGAAACTGACGTGTCAAGAAACAAGAAAATCTATCAGGGCCAAGCATCAGCTGATTCATGATTTGGCGGGAAACCAAACCAAACCAAATGATGAACATGACGATAAAGACAGTTACTGTATGGATGGAGAAAAGGTTAAATTGATAGAACTGACCGGAAGCACGGAGTTGATTGAGATTCAACCCAATGGTATCTTTAATAAAGAATCAACTGAGAATAATATAAACAAAGGTTTTTTAACTCCAGATGTTGACACATGCTATGTGGACGGACCTGAAAAAGTTATAAAAAATTCGATAAAGCGGAGAATTGTTATCAATCTTGACGATAAGAACAAGTTTACGGATGAAGTGACAGTTTGAGAAGGCAAACCACACCAAATATTCATCAGCATATATATATATATATATATATATATAAATATATAAATGTGGACGGTATTCAGTGGCTTGAGAAGCATCGTTTGATACCCTATTCGATATATTTTGAAAGAAAAACAAATTTCTGCCTACTGGTGACTTTTCTTTAACGAAAATGACCGCGTGAAAATTGAACGCGAAAAAAAATCTGAACCTAAATTCAGAGGGTTTAAAATAGTTCTGACCAACTTTGCCAACTGCACTTCATGCTTGGCTTCAAAATAGACCAATCCTAATATACATATATAAATATATATGAAAATTTGGGGTTCTATAATAGAATTTGAATACCAAAGTATTATCTGTAAACAAAATTTGAAATAATTCATATTAGAAATTAATATTTCACTTCGCAAGTTTAGATAATTTTTTATTCTAAATTTGAATTTCACAGTTTTACATTCTAGAAAAACCACACTTATTTGATATTGATAAGTTATGTCCTATAAAAAAAAGTTAGGTGTAAACATCCTAGATTAAAAACGCAACATATTGCTAATTTTTTTAGTGGATAGAACCTTGATTGCATCAGAAAATATTTCCTTATTTGTCTGAGACACCCATTATATTATTTTCACACTAAAATAATTTTAGGTTTTATTTAAACATTTATAGGGCTGGCAAACTCACATCTTTTACAGCAACTCACATGACACCAGGAAAGGTTCTATAGCTAGCTGGTCGAAATAGAAAATTTTGCTAGCAAACATATTGACAATTTTTTCAATCTAAATAGCGAAATCCGCGAAAATTTGAGCTTGTTGCAGGAGAACGAAAAGAAAATTACGACTTCATAAGCAACAGTTAAAAGCTAAAATTGTTACTTCGAAGCCTAGTTAATTTATATATTTCTTCACCTGTAATTTAATAATCTGTAAATTAACCTAGCTACCTTATTTCACCAAGCCCAGTTTAAAATGTTAAATTAGAAGCAAAAAATTATTACATTGCACATTTGCACGCTAATTTTCATTTGAATATTTCATCCACAGTTTTATGGGTCTACCTGTATACAAAAATACAATTAGTATTTTGTAAATAGTTCATTCACAGTTCATAGCATTACCTCTTAGTCATCACATGACCACTGAAAGAGTACAAACTATTTATCCATACATATATATTATATGTGTTAATATTATATTGTGTAGATTTATTGAATATCATAGTTACTTACAAATTACAAGGCGTATACACCAGGATCTTTAATATCTTATGTATACTTGAATTATTAGAAAAGACGACATTTGTGTCAAGTTAAAGGGACTGTAAATGTAATTTCAAAAGACTCTTCTTTTATCAAGTGGCAAGTTTGAACAATAATAAATAAGATATCACTGTTTTTCTCTTGGAAATTATGTAATTTTCTTTTGTGGTTTCTCTATAAAATTACATATAAATTCTGCTGCAGAAACAATGGAGGAAATTTTCCGAACTAAACACTTTTAAAGAAAACTAGGATTTCTTTTAAATTATGGAAAGCTAAAGGTTTTACAGGGTATTGTTGGGAATCTGCCCATCATCAGGTTAAACTACAAATACAGTCCCTTGAATGAGATAAATGCAAATCAGATGATTCAAAACTCCTTTGATGTCCTAACAGACCTTTAGGCAGCTATAGCAAGTTATTTAGTGAATCATATCGACTCTAGCTAGATGACAAAGAAGTCAAACTTAAAGTGACATAAATATTTGAGGTTAAAAATTAGAACATTGGGATAATTTTTAGTTGACATTAATTACTTCATATTTTAAAATGACTGTTGTTCGTTTCTACAATAATATTTTTAAATCCAATCCTTTACCTTATCACTTCAAACACTTTATAGTTTGTTTACATTCCTTCCTGACAGTACAGTACACATTTTGTGTACACTTGTTGATGTAGGTTCCTGGTGTATGCTCTGAGCTGAAAACTCTTCTATTGGATATCTTTATTCACAATTGCCAAATCTCTATATCCACTGGGGACACTTTTAATTTTCTTTTTACTCTTCTCTTTTGGATATCCCTGCTGGATTTCAACCAATAAGAGTTTCCTTATTGTTCGCACCCAAAAGCAAAGATTAAATTGTAAGATAAATAAAAAGAGGAGATCAAGCATTGATCTCGATATCCAAATTTAAAGTTTTCAGCTCTGTAATTATAAATATATATAAAATTTCATGTGATGTGTACATGTATCTTTTACATATTTTGTTTGTCATAAGCAGGGGTGCAGATATACGAGATATTCTAGTCAAATATTTGTATATTGCATTGAAAAGTTTAAACTTTTTTTATTTTAAACTTCTACTAAATTCTAATAATTCAAAAAGAGAATTTTTGAATTATTAGAATACCTACAGTGGTAGGCGATTATATCAATACAATGAAGGCGACTTTTTTATTTAAGTTTTTTTTGTCAACAACAACGAATTGCAAGCTTACAAGTTTTTAAAGAGCAGCTTTTTCAGTGATAGATTATCTTGATATTAATTTGTTATGTAAAATCAAATCCCCTCCAACCCTGCTAACTGTAAACTAAAGTTTTGTATTTAAATGTTGAGTTTCTAAATGTCTAATTAAAGTGTGAAATATAAAATATATATTACAAGAATCAAATTCTAATTTATAAGCTGTTGGAATAATATCAGCTAAATCATCAAATAGGAACTAAATGAAAACAAAATAGGTGGTTGAAAATTGTTTATACCAGAATTAAATATACCAATGAACAGAGTACAATAGATTCAATTCTACTTCTTAATTAAATTATTTAGGCAATCTTCCCGCTGCACATGTAGAAATATCAAGATTCAATCTTCTTGGTTTATTTTAACTCAATTGGATAAATTATAATTTACTGTTAAAAGAAAACACTTTTTATAATATTACAGAAATTTTTTTTTCTAAAAAATCGTGTTATTATTGTAATTCTTCCAAGTCTCTTTTCATGTACTCTTAAGGGTAAACCTGCTCCTTCCGATCGACCAGCCTGCCTCTACCTAGTTGACCCGAACTAGTTTAGCTGAGCTTATAGTATGTGGTCGACCCAGTTGACCTGCCAGCCCTGCAAACAGAAGCTTGGGTGGTTTGGTCAACCCTACTGACCAGCTCTAAGTTGTATGTTGAGCAATAATCTCAACCCTGCTGACCAGTCTGTTGTTGCCAGCCGGTCAACTGGCAACATGAAAATGGCTGCCAGAGCCGATACTAGCACCGTCCGATCCCTTAGTATAAACTTGTTTAACTGGTTAAACTTGCAAGGTGCCAAATTTAAATATATCCTCAAAGATAAAGTAAATAATAATATCAACTCTCTAAAATTAGTTCAAGAGATTGATAATTAGGAAATAATAATAAGAAATAATTAGGAACTTCTGATTTTACAATAAATCCCCTGACGTCAAACTATTTAAAAAGAAACTGCATGTTATCGATTGAAATTCTACTTGTTTTCAATCATCATTCCTCTGATTGAAGGACTATTACTGATATGTCACATGATACTTGAAACCAAGGAGGAGTTACGAGGTCACAAATTCGTACCAGTGGCGTCGACGGAAAAATATTGATTCTAATATTTGAAATGGAGTTGTCGGGTTGTAAAAATGTGCAACTAGAATAAAAATGTCATTTTACATTACTAAAAAATTTATATGGATTTTATCACTCTTTTACGATCAATTTCCTTATAGCTCAGTTGTAAAGTATATTTATCGATGTAGAACAAGTTTCTTTAATAAGTGAGGTCACTCTGGATACGCTCCAATGTACAGAAAATGTCGTCTCTTTATCATAGATAGATAGAATACGCATATGACGAAACTGATCATAGAAGCAACCGTGACGTCATATGCGGATTCCATCTATCTATGCTTAGGAGAAGATATTTTCGTACTTTAGAGTTCATCGAGAGAATCCAACCTTATTAAAGAACCTTGATGTAGAATGCCAGTAAATCCATTCTAAAAATACAGGATTTCCCACAAAGAATAGAAACTAAATGACAACATGAAACTATGAATGATGGTGAAAACGAATGTCAGAGGAAATATTGTAATCTACAGCTTAATCCAAAGGTGTTGTAATGTCAAGCTGTCGCTTAAAAATCTATGATAATTTTGCCGATAACTTCTTAAAAACTGAATCTGCAAACAATCAGGTAATAGTTCATAAATGCACAGGGCTGCAGTGAATTAGGGAGGTAAAAGTTGACCCGGTATTTCAAAATGGTGCAGCCTTTTAAAGCCGTCTGGATCTCTGTAAATCAACCCATTTATAAAGTTACCAAATCATTTAAACAATTATTTTCAATCTTGTATCTAGACAGAGTTTATTTATAATCTGTCCTACATTATCTCTCTTCATCTGGTTCCTCCCAAAGATCTAAATAATATTAATAGTGTCAATAAGACTCTTTTGACAGGAAAATTACTAAAGAATATCATTTTTATTTATTTTTATTTACTGTTTTAGTATTTGTAAACCTGGCTGTGAGCCTGTGATGTGTATTTCTCAGATGTTGTTTTTCTTATTTTAGTTGTTCCACTCTTGTTTTGTTTTTCTAGCGAGCTGTAACATGATAAATAGTTTTGTTTTTCCAACAGCCAAAACTGTAATTGCTGGAAGAAAAATTGAAATCCAATATTTTAGTGAGTGTTAAATAACAGATTTGAGACATATATGCAATGAATTTCTCTTTTTATAAAACATGTGTCATACAATAAACTATCTTGGGTACAATAAGTTTGTGCTTAAAGGAAGTGTTTGCAAAAATGAAAGGGAGTATGTAAGCCGTTTTGTTAACGGCTAGTTTCAACCGTTTTTAAAATAAAATCTCAAGTTAGTTATTAAGGGTAAGAACGAAACTTCATTTCGTTAACGGTTTTTCCGTTTTTTAAGGGCGTTAAGCGTTAATGGCGTTAAGCACAGAAGATGACATTAAAAACTTAAAATCGCGTAAATCAAGGTAAAGTCCCAATTCCCGATTCGGTATGTTGGTAAAAAAAACATAATTTATTCAATTAATTTCAAACTAATTCTTTACTTTTTTCATAAAGACAATCCAAATTGAATTCTGGTCACTCGTATAAAGATTTTTTTTTTACATTATGTGTGAGGACAATAATTCTAAATTTAAAAAGCGGGATTTCACTTGGATCGATTCACCGCAAGTGAGTGACGAATGTTTTTTTTTACAATTTTCTCAATAATACTCACTTTAGATGAAAAAATATATATACTACTTTAATCCAAAGAAAATTACTGTTTCACCTTCTCCCTCTTTATCATTTTCGAATACTCTCTTTTTATTTCACCAATTTGAATTACACAAAATATTCTATTTTTGAAATTAAGGATCACTTAGTATATACTTCGCAGACATGCTCATGAATAGTGCCAGAATACTCAATGCTACGTGAAATCTACATAAAAAAATTAAAATACTTTTCATGAAATGGACCAACAACTATGAAAATGTGTTCTTTGCTAAACTAATAATAATACAAAAACTCATGAAAAAAAATTCTATTTCTATAAAATCTATTTTATATGCTTAAGTATTTTGAAAGAGGCGAACATGAACATTGAACAAGACCTTTAAACATAAATATTGTGAGATTTGAAATGTAGAATGTGAGTAAAATTAAGTTTGCAATTAATGAATTAAAAAAAGTTTTGACAACGTTCTAATAAATGTTTGTTTAACTTGAACTACTTGCAATGAAAACAAAAAGAAAAAGGAAACTTTTTAAACTAAAATAAATAATGGGTTGGGAACCCAGTTTTGCCTGGAAACTAAAGAAACCGAGTTCTTGCCACAAACTCTGATTTTCTAATCTTTGCATGATGTAACCCTTTCAAATTTTAGATTATTTATGCATTCCTTTCTGATCAAATAGTTTGAAATAACAAAAGGCTTTGCCATCAGTGGCCGAATTTAAAGAATTTGAGCGGCGGTTTAAATTTAAGCCGCGGTTTAAATATGGTTGGACCCACTTAAAATTGTATCAAATGTTTCAAGATTTAAGATGGCGCTTAATTTAAACCGGGTTTTGGCGGATTTAAACCGCGGCTCAAATTCTTTAAATTACATCTCAGGTTGCATAAATTATGATCAGACTTACAAACAAATAAACATACCACACGTAGAATTAGTTTATAGCTAATTACGTCTTGTTTCACCTAAACAGGCAAAGCCTCCCCATGCCCGTACATGAATATTTGAATGGTGCCAAGTTTGATTGGTTGTTTTTCCCTGTAATACGTGATCATATTTCCCGCCCGGTACAACTAGAATCAAGATGTAATTAAATGACAGTACAAAATATTGACACAGTCAGGATTTATAAGTCCGCCCAAACAAGACTGTTGGTGTGACGTGACCAACAACCCATACAAAGAT